TTTTTAGGGTGGGTATTCCTATTTCATATCCTTATTTTTGTGGTTGACAGGATTTTGTAGCAAACCATCCTACAAAGCAGGGACTGAGAACCTGTGCCAAGCTGCCCCCTGCTCTTCCTCTGGATGATGAGTGGGAAGGCCAGACACACTTAGCTAATGTGCCTCAACCACAGGGCTGGCAGAGTCACAGACCTCAGGTCAGCTGCTGTCAGCCTGGACCCCAGGTGCTCTCCAGAGACCCCTCTCTGCAGCCAGCCCCACACAGATGCTGCTCCAAGGCACTCCATGGCCATTCTCTCCACAGACTCCACTGGGAAGCCTCTCTTGATAAATGCAGTGTGAACACCCAAGAAGAAACAAAGATACTCCTGTGATGAGGAGATGGGGCTGGCTCCCGGACTGGAATCAAGCAGAAAGTCTAACCATTGTCCCTACCTTAACCCCATGCACCTGTCCCCCCAAAGCAAGTAGTGCTCCTTGAAAAGTACATCATTTGAAGATGTGCTTGGATGCTGGCTTGTGTTTCACCTGAATCTGAACTGGAATACTGGACTTGAAGAGAAGTCAGCCATGTCAGCCGACCTCTAGGACAGAGGCACTGCAGGCTGCGTGTCCCTTGAAGAGTATCCTTTCAGCTGCTTCCAGAATTGCCTAGGGCTTTCTCACCAGCTAAGCCTCTCTCAGCAAAGTGCTGATTACCCTGGCACAAGAGGGAAGAAAGATGAATGTATTTATTCTCAGAGAGACTGTATCTAGATTGTGACATTTTATTTATCTCGACCTTTAAGCTTATCTTGCTCCAATATGGTAAAACCCCCAGTTCCACCAAACCTCAAAGCTTAATCCACTGTAAAGCAGAGAAGATTCTAAGGTGTAGTTAATTGTTCTGTGTCAGATCATCCCCCTTTCCTCTCAGTTTGGTTCCCTGAGTGAACGGCAACACAAAACAAAACAAAATCAACAACTTGCTCCAAGATTAAGGTGTAATCAACGCCAAGACCATCTGGGAGCAAACGCTCATTAATTTAGTAGAGCAGCATCTCACCCCATCATCCAGGGCTTGTTCATACAGCAAGGTGTAAAGCCCTAGGACATCACTACCAGGACAGCTGCCTCTTGGCCTCTTTCCTGTCCTGACACCCCAAGGCATTTGCAACTTGAGCCCTTCTCACTGATCAGAGGGAAAAAGTTGTATAGAACAAGGGCTCACCTGAAAAGCGCATTGGATCTGTTTGTTGGACAAGAAGCCATTTCCCGGTTGCCCAGGATTTTTCTGGAATAGGTAACAAGCTGCTAAGAATGTCACAGTGCTTTGAAAATGATACTCATTTCATATATTTACGATTAAAATGTTGTTTGTTCATTTGCTTAGGTACAGAATGAGCCACCAGGAGGCAGATGGGGCTCCAGAAGACAGGTAAGCAGTGAAATGATTGAACTTTATGACTACCCCTGTAAGTGTTTGCACTATTGTTTACTAATTGGATGACCTTGAAGACATCATAAAAATGAATTAAGGGGATGCAATAATGCATGTGTAGCACTTGATATCGTGCCTGATGCATAGTGACCACTCAATAAAAGTTAGTTTTTGCTATTGTCGTCATTATCACCATTATCACCAGCATCACTGCCGTTATCATTAAACCATAAAGGTTGATCATTAAAAAGGATGATCATTAAATCATAAAGGTGCTGAGTTTAAGGATTTAAAGCCCAGTTAAGAAAAGAAAATATACACATGAGCAAAGTAAAGACGGAACACTTATCTTGTGTATGACAGTTTGTGTATTTACACTAGGTTTATCTTATCTTCTTCTGGGTTCTGGCAGTTCTAGGGGGCTGCCTAAGAACCTGATTCAATACCCTGGTTATACACAAGTACATTTATCTCTCATGTGAATGATCCACAGAAATTTGCCCCCTCTAGACAATGAACATCCGAAGGACAGTCAGACAGAGCTCACGTGCTGTCGATCCATGTATCAACCACATTCCTCTCCCTGGACCAGAACAATCTAAGACCTAAAGAAGTTACTCAATACATCTTTGTTGAACAAGTGAATAAGAAAGAATATAAAATCATAGATTTCGCTGGTCTGTTCAAAAATGGTTACTTACTGAGCATCATCTATGGGATAAATCCAGTGCTCTGGACTGTGGATGTAATGAGAATACCTAAACCCTGGTGTGTCCCCAGCAACTGCCCCCCACAATTTTTGGCAGGTTTTTTGAAAAGCAAGTAAGAGCTGACGTAGGAAAAAACGAGTCCACACTTAGCACTAGTTTCCTTCAAGCAAGGCTGACCCAGACCTATCTCTTCTTCTATATTAACACCCCCAAAGAGATTCCCTAAAGACCAAACATGGGCATCATGCGGCACCCAAAAATGCACACCCTACCAAAGCATATATGAAGTATTCTAAATATCTTTTTCTTTATCCTTGCCTCTTTTCTAAATTATATTTTCATTAAGGCATGGATTATTTTATCAAAGTATTAAAATGATAGTTCTAATGGTATAGAGCACCCATAATAGTTATTTGCCACAAATGACAAGTATAAAATAGGGCATACATGGCAAATGATTATGGTGGGTATATCATAAAATTAAATATATGTGGGTATATTACGTGTGTATACATGCGTGTGTATATATGTATGTGTATCTGTGTGTGTGTATATATGTATATATCCTCCGCTGAAATTGAGGGGTTTGATTGAAGGTAAGATTGAAGGGTCAGCAGATCGCCCCTGCCACACTTTCCTAAGCTTAAGGCCATTGGAGGTTGCTCCTTCAGAAGAAAGACCTGGTATTACTGGTCCTCATTTTTATTTTACTAACCCTCTCCCCTAAGGTGAGAGAACTATTCTCCCTTGGCTGGTCACAGTGGCCCCGTGAGAGGGAAATGGGTGCGGCGAACCTGAGTTTCTGTAGTCTAGGGCAAGCTGTTCCTCCTGGCCCCGGGCATGCCCTTCCCACCACTCAGGTTGAGACTTAGGGCTGCTGATAGCCTCTGTCCCACTGAGACAGAATTGCATATCTTTTAATTTTCTAATATGCTGACAACACTTTATACAGCAGATGCATTGAGGAATAAAAGTTGGCTTTCACTTTCATGTATGTACATGCATTAGAGAAATCTATCAGGGAAGCAGAACCCTACTCAGTCACAGCCTGACGAAGGGGTACTGAATTCAAACAACAGAGCAAGTGTCAGGTTCTTAATGCATTAAAAGAACTGTACTTTTTCAAGCTCCTTCCACATTCCCCACACTTTATTTTAGTGACATAATTTCCTTGGGACAGAAACTCTGCATTACTGACCTTCCAGTTGGAGGAGGAGTTCAATAATCTAAACACCTCACAGGCAAAGCATAAGAGACTCTTAAAAACTGAGAACAAACTGAGGGTTGATGGGGGGGTGGGAGGGAGGGGAGGGAAGGTGATGGGCATGGAAGAGGGCATCTTTTGGGATGAGCACTGGGTGTTGTATAGAAACCAATCTGACAATAAATTTCATATATTTAAAAATAAATAAACAAACAAACACCTCACAACAAACACAAGAACAGGATTCTATCCTTTTCTTTGGTCCGCTGGGGTTTTCCTAAAGCACACAACAATTTATTTTTGGGCTTCTTATACATAGTATGAAGTCTAATGGAAAATAGCCATCAGGTTAAAACAAAATTCAATGAACATCCTTTTTGTGTGGTAGATTCCCTTAGATTTCACAGGGGCAGGCCCTGCGACCAAACTGTTACTATGTAAAGTAACCTCCTCCCCACCACCCCTGTCATTGTTCACTATAGCAGGCATGGACCCCTGGCATGAAGGGCAGATTGGAATCTCTCTCCCTAGACTTTAGCCCTGAGACTGAGGACCAGCAGCTAGTCTCTTCTGGTCATGTTAACTGACAGGTGATGAAATTCCCCACTGGTCTTACATGGAGGACACTCGCTAGCTTGTGTCTGCCCCGAGACTACTCCCAGTGTCTCTGTTATTAGTATACCCCTTCCCCCTTTATCTGTGCACACAAGTGTATGTATTCAGGGATGGCTGATCAGAAGTGATATACGCCATGTTTAAGCCATCGTTACACCCAGGGCACTGACCAATCAGACTCTGGGCTGGACGTCAACCCCATGATCACTGAATATCACCCCTGAAGTCATCTCCATCCTCTTCCAGGCCCGGGGACTGTCACAAGATCCAAGCCTAACCAATCAAAGCCAGTGCTCTCCTGTTGGTTTGGGTGTGGACACGTGACATAGGCTGGCAAAGACCCCATCGGGATTAGATCAATAAAGCAGATTTTTAGAAACAAACAGAACATATAGTCCCCAAGAACAAAAGGGGAGAATAGCTGCCTGGATTTCTGAGGATGTTTCTGTCCCTAGTTTCACCCCAACTGCACATTCGTGCTGGTGTTTAGTGAGTTTGTGCTAGCCTGAAGGATCTATGGCATGGCATTCCCCTGGAAAAGAATTTACTGCACCTTCTTACATGTGTGAGGCAACACACTGTGAATCCCAGAGATGAAGGCATGTATGCGAGTGTGTGTGCACACCTGTGCACTGGTGAGCTGAGGGCCAGGAAGGGAAGCAGTGCAGAATCTACACTGGAAGGTTCCCCGGGCACTGCAAAACCAGAGGTGAGGTTGATCTCCTCCTCTTCAAAGACACCTGCATTCCCTCACTGCTGCTCCAATGAGCTCAAAGATCAGCGAGAACTGAGAGGAACCCAAATGCGTCAGGACAACCTGATGAACAGTTTTGCAAAAAGACCTGTGACCAATACAAACTTAGAAAGAAGGAAGGATCTGGCCTGCCTGGAGATAAATCCCAACCCATGACTAAGGCAAACAGCAAAAAGGGGAGGCAACAAGAACACATAACCAAAAATCCTCCCACCAGGGAAAAGGGGGTGAGGGAGAGCAGTCTTGGGTGTGATGCTCAAGGAACACAGTAACCGTTAGCTCACTTTATCTACGTACCTCCAAAGCGAGCTCTCAGTGATGCTCCCCAGGTTATAGTCATACAGCTTTGTCAAAATGAGAATCACCTGAAGGCAAAAGAAGAGATCACGGTTAGTCTCCAACAATTACAATCTCATAGCTGTGAAATGGCCCAAGGGAGGACTCAGGATTCCATTAATAGGTGCTTAACATAATTGAATGAATTGTTACAACATTGCTTATGCTGACTGGGGAAGGGTTTTGCCAGTGCCTTCCTTTAAACCGCTCAGACCTGATCCCCTCCCCAACTTCTCTCTGTATCCTGCAGGAAGTGTTACCTGCCCATCCAGGCAATCCTTACCCTCGTGGGCTTAAGGCTTTCAGGGAAGACTAGCAAAGCTGTCAAATGTGCACCCTGCAAGGGGCCGGTGAGCAGATGGTCAGGAAAGAGAAAGGTCAATGTTGTAGCTCCCAGCCCTAGTAGCTGTACCACACTGGGCAGGATGCTTTGCTTCTCTGAACCTCAATATTCCCGACTATTAAAGAAATGGGGGCAGTAATGCTATTGCCTAGAAAGGGTTGCTGTGCGGAGTTAAATTAGGTAATACATGCTAATTATTCTTCAATTTGCATAGCGTTTTTAAATGTTAGTTCCTTCCCTTTCTTTTGCTTTGTAGGTTTGGCTTTATCGATGTCTCCTGATTCTCCACAATTTCTGGGAAAGCCACTGGATGGAATCCATGCTTCCACAGGGCTCAGCAAGAACATTCTAAAAGGAGCATATTTATGCTCTGTGGGGTCCTGAAGCTTACAGGATTTGGGGAACCCTCCATAAGGAGTAGAATATAAACTTATGAATTTAAACTTAGGGACAGGTCCCAGGAAGGGACCTCTGCAGTTGAGGGATACTGACATTTCAGCTTCATTAGCATCACAGCAAACCCCCATCTGATTTGAGCCCAGTGCTGCTGTCCACATCACTCAGAGAAACCCCAACTACTTAGGTCTTTCTTTCACAATTCATTAACCATTTATTAAGAACCCAAGATTCTCCCCCCCCCCCCACCAAAGCCCAGGAGAACATAAATACAGATGGGGCCTGCTGTTCTGTGATCCAGTTAGGACAGGACAAGCTCACGAAACAAAACCTAGGTTGAAAGACAGCTGATCTACCCCTCCTCGGTCCCACTGACACTCAGCATGGCAGCTGGAGAAGGCTGCTTCTCCAGGCATCTGCAGTTACGCCAAGGGTCCTCCGGGTACCTAGAGCTCATGAGCACCAGGACACTTGGGAAGATTCAACAGAGCAGTGAGTTCCTAACCAGTGATTTCCCAGCCCTCATTTATTCTTCTTACATAAGGACCAGAACTTATAGGTCTGATCCGTTTTCTGTTGAGATTTCCATTTCTCTCCTAATTCTCATAGCCTAGAACATTTGGCCCAGGCTTGCTGTTTCCAATTCAGCAGAAAAATGTTGACATCGACTTCCAGGATTTTCCCGGAAGACCAAGGGATCAGTTCTAGTCACAGTGAGCACAAAACATTCTAACCTTGAATTCCAAGGCAGCAAGCTGCCAAGGAATGCTGAATCCTTCTAAGTTCCACTCTGCTAGCACAGGGCTTGATTAAGGCACAAGCTTTAATGAGCAGATTCCCAACACTTCTTTCACAGCAAGCAAACTGGAACTCTACAACCTTAGGTTCGTTCCAAGTTCACAGGAAGGAAGAAATATGGTAACTGAAAGATGGGCAGAGATCTCAGGACCCATGCTCTAAGGCCACCCCTGTCCTAAACCACAGTACAGGCTTCCTTCAAGGAACTGTTCAAAACTTGCTTACTTTTTTTCTTAATTTTTTAAAGTTTATTTCTTGAGAGAGAGCGAACACAAGTAGGGGAGGGGAAGAAAGAGAGGGAGAGAGAGTCCCAACCAAGTTCTGCACCATCAGTAAGGAGCCCGACCTGGGGCTCAAACCCACAAACCATGAGCCAAAACCAAGAGTCAGGAGATTAACCGACTGAGCCACCCAGGTGCCTCTCAAAACTTGCTTCTTTAGTAAAATGTGAGCATGTGTGAAACACTGGGCACCCTATGGGTACATCAGATGGTGCACCTATGGTGGGGGCATATGCTTAACAGGTCTGCGTGCCAATTAAGTTGCTCTAAGTGCTAAATTTCAATCACCACTATCCCAGGAACACTGATCAGTGGCAGCAGGGTGGCTGTTTGTTGGAAGACACAGAGTGATGTTGCCACTCTACCTTGGTATGATTTTACCTAAGAGGCCTACGAATCCTCCACCAAGAAAATGGGGGTGTGGACATAAAGCACTTGTGGGTAGTTGCTCTCTTGTCACAATACAGCAGGAAACTAAATAATGAAGTTCAGCTGGGCACAGGCTGCATCTCTCTCATCCATCTGACAAGGGAATTCAGAGAGGCCCCAGAGAAGGAAGCTTTTAACCCAGCAGGTAATGGTGCGGAGTCATTCTCTCTCTCTCTCTCTCTCTCTCTCACACACACACACACACACACACACACACACACACACACACACACACACACACACAAAGAAACTGTTTAAACAATTCACAGGCAGGTGGGCAGGGAGGTAAAAATCCACTCCCTGACTCTCTTTGAGGGGCTAGTAACACTAAAATGCCACTGATACACTCAGGCAGTTTATCAATACTGCACCAGAAGAGGTGTCCTTTCTGGCATTCCAAAGCATATCTGCTTGAATCAATCTCATCTTTCTGTTCTCAGAATGAGAGCAAGAAAGAAGGGGAATTGCTAACCTTTAGTTGTGTCTCCAATGGATTCTTTGTAATCTCTCTCTTCCTCTTTTTTCCCCAGTTCACAGTCTATGTGCATTATTTACCCCCATATTTACCCCATATTCCTGGATAGTGATCCATCATTATGTTTAATCTGGTTTGTTGTGGGTTCTTTGTTTTTCTGTTCTGGTTAATTAGCAATAGTATTTAATGTAATTAGTACCTGTTAAAGGGACCACAACTTAAACTGCCAGTATGAGATGAGAAAAAGGGGAAAATGCAATGGCCTGCCTCTTCTGGACCCATTGTCTAATATGTTTTGTGCATTTTACAAACGTTAAAAGAAAAAAAAAGATCTGTGAAGTTTTTTCATCAAGTGAACTGTTATATGTACTTAAAATACATAAATAGTAATTTATTTTTATTCATTCAGTAAACAACTTTCCTGTATAGATTTAATTCTGAGCCTAACTGCACAGCTTTTAATTATAAATCCAATCAATGAGAGCAAGACTGTTTTGATGGATACACACACAAAATGGAATGCTCATCAGCATTGCATTTCTTTCTATATCTTTTTTTTTTTTTATTATATAGTACCAAAATATCCCTGATTCCAAACAATAAGTGATGACCATATGGTAAAGGTTTTTTTTTAGGTTCCTCTTTAAATCTTAGGATACTTTCTTTTTTTAAATTTTTTTAATGTTTATTTATTTTTGAGAGAGATAGAGACAGAGGGCGAGCAGGAGGAGGGGCAGAGGGAGAGGGAGAGGGAGACACAGAATCCGAAGCAGGCTCCAGGCTTCGAGCTGTCAGGATAGAGCCGGATACAGGGCTCGAACTCACAAACTGAGAAATCATGACCTGAGCCAAAGTCAGATACCTAACCAACTGAGCCACCCAGGGGCCCCAGGATACTTTCTTTAAATGGCTATAATCCAACTGTCAGTGGCTTAACCACCTCTACCTACACTTTGCCAGGATCTCAGCACCCAGTTATTTCTGGGACTTTCCAAAGTGGCACATTGAAGGATTCCCCAACCAGTCTAGGAGCCATCTGTCCTGTTCTTCTGCTGTGGCTCCTTCCTGCCATATCCATTGCTTACAAAGCTACTGGGGGAAACTTCACGTTGTCCATATGTATAAAGAGCCTGTCGAAGCCAACCTTCCAAGCTGTTACATTAATTCCTTAGAAGGTTTAACCACAGTGGTGGTAGTGGATATCCCTGCAGTGTTCCTAACTGTAGGGGGCAAGTTCTCAGTTTTTCCCCATTGAGAATATTAGCTGTGGCCTTTCATATGTGGCCTTTATGATGTAGAGGCATGTTACTTCTATCCCTAGTTTCTTGAGCATTTTTATCAGGAAAGGATGCTGTATTTTGTCAAATGGTTTTTCTGCATCTACTGGAAAGATCCTATGGTTCTTCTCCTTTCTTTTATTAATGTGGTGGATCACACTGATTGATTTGTGAATATTGAACCAGCCCTGCAGCCCAGGAATAAATCCCACTTGATCATGGTGAATAACTCTTTCAAAGTACTGTCGTGGGAGGGTGCCGGAAACAATGCCAGGGTCTGTGCAGGGACGAGTGAGGTTCTTTGAGGAAGTGATCATGGGCTTC